GAGTAGTGTGCTGCTCTGTTTAAGTAAATCAGTACCACAATTTGTGACAGTTGTTTTTTATATCATAGTAGAAAAAAATGAGACTGCAAGGGAAGGCTGGAGATCATCTAATTCTTCTGATCAGTCTTCTGGGCGGATGGCAGGTTTTGGATATCAGCTGAGCAAAAGTTTTGTAGATCAGCATTTTGCTTTCAGGTGGTGAAAGCACACTTTGGGAACCTAAGCCTATTAATGAGTTCGGGCTTCAGCTGGAAAAGGCTGGTAGGCAGAGAATACTATATGAATATCTGTTGTATAGAGAAGACAGTGCCTCAATAACGAGCAATTAGGATTTTATTTCATTTCTGTATATAATGAACTATATGTGCACCTGCATTTTTTTCCTCTCCTTACTATCCTCTGTCTTTTTTTGCCTTTTCTGCATCCTTTATTTATGAACTGTTTCCCCCTCCATATCAGTTATACATCTCAAAAAAATTCACATAGTGGCATTTAGTGTAGTGTGAGCATACCTGATCTGTACCTGGTTTTCTATGTGTGCATGACTACCGTAACTGTTTCTTTTAGTAGTATATTTAATATGAGTAAAAGCAAGAATAAAACCTGCCATTGTTATTTTGAATCAGAATGCCAGCCTGAGGTCCCTGTGATGGACTCGTAACTATAGATGTTAAGCGTCTTTCTGAACCTTTAACTTGATCTACTTGCGAAGAACAGGAAGTTAGTAAAGTAGCGGGGAATTTCATCCCTGTTATTCTCATAAATGTACATGTCCGCATTCACATCCATGCAATGCTAAAAATGTATTTCACCTATATTCTTGAAAAGCTGCAACTGATAAAATAAATCTCTGAAGCTGACAGAATCTTAAAGTATAGACTATGTTTAAAACCCACTGAACAATCCCAGTCCCCTTTCTTACAAATACTTGACCATGTGCATACTTTTTGCAAAGACGAAGAGTCCTGTCCAAAGCACCTGGGCTGAGGCTGTGAATAGTTACGTGTGCGTTTTTTTAACAGGAATGAGAGTGACTGGACCTGTAAATGAGTGACGGAGAACTAAAAGTTGTTTTTAGATTGTTACCTTGGCTGAGTTCATAAAAGCAAAGCAGAAAACAGTTTAATTCTAAGAGAGTTGAAAAGCTCAGTTAGTCCAAGAAATCTCCTGTCTCACAATTATTTTCTGTTGTGTCTTTTGTTGAATTTTTTGTGTGGAATAGTTTTTTACTGACTGGTAACTTTTCCCCCATTTTTAGTACTACTTTGTTGTAGTATTGGCTGTGCTACTGCCAAATGTTTGTCATACAGAATTTGCCAGTGGGTAAAAGGTTGACATCTAGGTGAGAAGACAGGAAAAGCTGTAATTTGAAGTGTGCTACCTTTAAAAACGTGATTATATGACACTCACCTCACACCTTGTACATCTAAGAAAGTTTTCCACCACAAATTCCCATGACATCATTAGTAGCATTTAGATACTTTTGTTCCCTTTGAACATTAGATTGAAACATCACAAATGTGACATCAAGGAAAGACAGTAAAGCTCACTTGTGCAGTAGATAAAGATGCAGAAAACAATCAGAGAGAAGTTCGACCCTGTACGTCTGTTTGGCTCACCGCTAAACCTTGCTGCAGACAGTGCCATAATAGTGTATGCTCAACTGCATATTGCAGTTTATAGTACAACTGCATTACTCCAAGCTGAAAAAACAGGAAATTCAGGGCTGAGGGTTTGAGCACTAGAATGAGAATTCCCTCATTTTTCCCTGACACTGCATATGCAGAGTTTTGAGGGCAGGTCTGAAGTGGCAGGAGAGGAGTCCTAGACTGAACTCCCCCATTCTAGAAGGTTTCAACGCTCATTTTTCTTTTAGCGGTAAAGAGTGGAAAGAGATTTAAAAAAAAAAAAAAAAGAGAGAGGGATAAGCCATATGGGCCAAAATGATGGAAAACCATGCTCATCTTAGGACCAACATTAAAATACTGCTGATATGCAAATTCACAGGGGCTCCACCTGTCATACTCATTCTGTATACACTTATTTCAGCCAGCTTCATTGCAGCATTCACACCAGCCATTCTCACCATCTTGCACAACCACACAGCATGGACCAAGTTATCCTCCTAAGGATTACATTGCCTTATAGTCAGATAGGCTTATCATGTGTGTAATAAAAGCCTAAAGTAGTCAGGGTAACCACCGACGGATAAGCAGGGTTTTTACTGCCAATCCAGAAAGTTTACCTACACCTTCACGTTAAATATCCCCGTGGGAAGCCAGAGCTAGATTTAATGACTTCAAGTGAAAATAAAGAAAGCTGTTCCGTTCAGACCGTTATTGTTCATGCCGCTTTGTGAATTTATTTTTTTAAATTTTCCACTTGTGCTCCTGCCAAGAGAGATCTATTAGACAGTAAGCAGCAAGAGTAAAACTTTATCATTTTGTTTCAAACTATAAAATAATTTACATCACATATTTTACTTACTTTTGTCTTTTTTTTTTGAAACCACAAACATTCCAGCATCACACTGTAGGAATAAGAATAACAATAGAAAGCATAACCTTTTGCATAGTATTAAATGAACAGACAGAGTAAGTTCTTTATTTACAATTATTGTCTAGATAAAAAAATTCATAAAAACAGATGAATGAACACATATCAATAACCCCTAGTGGGATGGATTGCCAATGTACCACTGTATTGTTGTCCACAAATCTCATGCTGCTAAGTACAGTACGTAGAGAGCGAGCATTTATATATTGCAGGGAGTTTTAACAAACTGATCGTTTTGGTTTTTGATCCATTGTTCCCATCACAGAGAGGTCAAGCAATAAAAGAAAAGAATTGTGATGCACGACTTGTAGTTGAAAGGTCTTAGCTATTCTGCTTTAAAAAAAAAAAATCTATCATTTATCATATACATAAAGCACAGTCTCTGCTCACAAAAGCCCAAATGTTCTATGCATCTCGGTTTATATATGTTTTATTATATATACACAGAATGCAGTGTTCATTTTCTTAACAGTTTTCAAGTCTGCAAATGGTACCTTAGGGAGGGGTATTCCTACTGGAAGATTTAAAAAAATGGAACCAAGAAAAAACATGAAGTGTTTGAAAATAAAAAGGCAAGTATTCAGTGTTAAGATGCTGAAAATAAATTGTTCCAGTATTGATAGTTTTTGTAGATATTCGAGTCCAAAGCTAGAGGCTTCCCTGCAAATAGATAACACTTTTGTTTCTTCTGAATATGATATCCCAAATAGGCCATAGAAACCCAATACATATTATACAAAGGTTAATCACCATATTTACAAAGTGAGGAACAATCCTGACTGAGATTCAATCACTTTGTTGCTAGGAATTAGCTAAAATAATTATGTTTTCATGCTAGCTTTTTACTGTTAAGAAATGGGTAACACTATTTGTTGAAAACAGAGCTGTATAAGCCTTCAAAGACCTGTCCTGCTGCTGTTCAGTGAAAAGTGGATCAGATAGTGAACTGTGAGTTTGAGCCAAAAACATTCAGGCTTCTACACAAAAGTCCGGAAGCTGGCAATTCAAGCCGATTAGAGCTTTACCTGGCTGAATAGTCCTGATGCACCCTTAAAACGTTTTAGTCAGTTCAGTCTGCAGTTTGGCCATGAGTCTAATCTTGTTTTGGAGAGTTCTGGCTTGACTTAGTTCTTGTGACTGCAGAGATGCACCACGTTATTAGCCAACTTTAACACAACCGGTAATACCTTAACAAACCAATTTATCAAGCTAGTTTGAGAGTGTTTTTTTCAACACATCTGGCATAATCAATTGTGTAGTTCAAAATGTCTTTTGCACTGTACAGTTATGGAAAAGATCATATGTTGAAAAGTCTTCAAGCAAACTTTATATTAAATACAAAAATTATTTATGAAAAATCTGTGATCCACAAAGTGCTTAGCATTCAAGTGGTTGACATAGCAATTATATAAGCTCATAAATTTTAAGTTATCAGGGCTGTTACCATCTTGAAAAATATTTTTCACCCGCTGTACTGTAGGTTTTCAAAATAGCTTTCTTTGTAGAAAGCGCAATAATTAGGTAAAACAATGTATTACTGTGTTACAGTATATTTTATGACTACAGGAAGACAAGCTTGGTTAAAAAAAATTCACACAAAGCACATCTTCATATACAATTAACAAAGTTTCATTCAGACCTAAATAGTGCAGAAATTATATTTTTCTTAAAAAGAAATCAAAGCAACAACCTACAGTGATTTTCATCCAAAATGCCAACAGCCCATACTGTGTAAGTCATAAGGAAATAAATGCCTAAATTACTAACTGAAAAGAATTAACACAGTATATCACAATAGTTTAACATTAGTTTGATCTCCATATAGACAAATCAAATATAACTTATTTTTAACCTGTTATTTATAAACTCAACTCAGTTTCATATAGTATCTCTCTAAAAATATTTTTTGGAAGCCATTGCCATATGTTTAAAGAATGAAATAGCCTCCATTACTGTATGTTGCACCAAAACAAGTTCAAGCAATTTATTAGAGGAAAAAAAAAAAGAGAGAACCTGATTATTCTGATTTTTATTTGAAACAAAGGAAGCCTGTTTTACCTCCCTGTATATAGGACCACAATGCTACATCCAGTGTGTTATATTTTGGCTTCTTTTGTAACTTTACTAGCAGTATCTACATTATTTAACAAAAAAAAAAAAATCAGGCAGAAATCAGAACACGGTTGTAATAAAATATCCAGGGTGCGATATTACAGACGTTTTCAATGAGCTGAGCTGAGCCATTTTTATACTACTTCGGCAGGAAGTGCTTTCTTAATCCTACAAATAGTTAAGGATATTATCTACACGTTTGTAAACAAATTACATTCTTTTTTAGGACATAAATAAGTTAAAATAGTCAGAGCGATTTGAGCAGAAACAAGGCAACATGCCAACAAAGAAACTTTATATATATATAACTATATATATATATAGATAGATATATAAATTAATCTATACAACTGAGTCCATGCCACACAAGCGTTTCAAAAAACTCACAGACCAGTGAATTGGATAAATAGCCTCAGAAAGAAGTCCTCTGCAGTTCCTGCTTAGGGAAGAAAAAAAAAAAAAAAAGAAAGAAATAAAAAGAGAGAAAGAAGGGCTGGAAGTATACAGTACATTCATGCAGGAGGATTTGTTTTTGTTTTTCTGAAAGGGAACAAGAGAAGGTATGTAAATCAGCCATTCATTCTTTCCCCCAAACCATTGTGATCAACAAATCATTCACTTGTCTCAGAGCGAGTAAGAGTTCAAACAGCTTTTCAGCCAGCAATGTTTTTAATATATATATTTATATATTTCGGTTGCCTTTTTTTATTATTTTATTTTATTTTAATTTTTTGCAGTGACCTTTTCAGCTAAAGTGATGTCTCCAGGCTATGTATTGGGCTTCCTGGACTAGAAGAGGTAGCTGATTTACTTGTGTCAGTTGTAAGATTTATTCCACTGTCGATAGCACTGTTGTTCTTGTTCAGCGAAGATGGTGGACTTGAGTTTTTCTTGAGAGCAGGGTCTTCTTCTAGGTCTGTGTCATCAATGAGTGGGATGTGGGGCTGGGAATCTTCTATCCTAAACTCAGGATGAGTCATAAAGTTGTGAATAGAGGTTCTAGATTCTGGTTTTTCTAAACCTTCATAGAGAGAGCTACGGAATGCCTTCACGACGCGGATCTAGGGGGGAGAAAGGAAAGACATGTCAGAGGTGGCACCTTTAAAGGGCAACACTGTGTTAGAGAATATTGTGTGAAAAATGTAGCACATGGTTAGGGCAGTGCAGGCAGCTGAAGTCCATAGTCCCTGGATGTTATATGCATAAACGAGTGGCTCAGTTATGTGCATTTTGAATATCTGTATCAACTGCAATGTTAAAATAAACCAAGTTTAAAGCCATCAAAGAACTGATGGGAAGTACTGGTTAAAGAAAACGAACATCCACTCGTGTGGTACATCCCTAGTAAAAGACAAGCCATGTTAATTGTAATGCAAATGTAAAACCATGCATGTTGATAGTTTTGCAGTGAGTAAGTAGGAAGGCTTTTTTTTTAATCAAAAAAGTCTCTTTAGATTGTTAAAAAAAACATTACACATAACATATCACACTTCACAAACGAAAAAGCATAGAACACAGACAAAGTTGGATGGGTACATATGAGAGACACACAGGAGCCAAATGTAAAAACTATAAGTAATATAAATGTTTTAAAGCAAAATCTAAATGAATGCAGCCAGGAGCACAAAAAGCCAAGCAGACAAAATACTAAGCGTAATCATGCTACCACAGGGGAAAAAAAAGTCACAGTTACCACATGAACAGAGATAACTTGCACACAACAACTACACTTGGAAGCCTGGATAATGTGAACATAGTATTGTTGAACCAACTTTCATTTTTCCTTCATGCATATGTGAGGTAAACACTCGAGTATAGACCCACTGTTCTAGCCATTTAACTTTTTAATATATATATAGAACATGTAATAAAAATAACATTGATTTGGGGGTTGAATTGAATTACATTGTTAAACAGCAAGCTTTTCCATTTTCTGTGTCTCAGTTGTAATACTGTTTGTTAGATTAAATCCTGAAAGTGACACAAGTTATGCCATATATGCAGTCTGTAAACTAAGTCAGCTAACTTATGCCAGGATAAATGTAATGTCTTTAACTACCTGACAATAAGAACATAGGTGAAAATAAACTACAAGGCTGAGCCCATTAGACTGTCAGTGACAGTGCCAAGTTGCTTTCCCAGGTAGGAAATGAGAGGAGTGGATTGAGGGGCTTTGCAGAGAGGGGACAATTAGTGCTCTGTGGTTGGGCAAAGGGAGGGGTGCTGTCTGTCTCCCAGAGACCTGTGAGCTCTGCAAAGAAGTGAAGGGTTGTGCTACATGTTAATAGTGAGAAAAACGTAACTTTCTTGGGGGGGGGGTGCGGATTGGATGGGGGGCAGAGAGGAAAAAACAGAATGGCAAAAATGTGATCTGTTGGCAAATGTTTTATGACTAAACATGAGTTCTATCCTTCTACTTCCATGTAGTTTATGAATGAATTTTTAGCTTTTCTTGGGGAGGGGGGAGCAAAACACAGGCAGAGGCAGAAAAGGTGCAAGCAGCCATTGTGAAAGCTTTTCCACACACATTTAAATGGTTTGGTGGTAGGTATGTGTATTGTTTTACATGTGAATATGCTGCAAGTTACTGTTTGGCCTAATACACCACTAAGCTTTGAAGCTTTAATTCTTTTAATTGGCAGACTGAATTTTAGTAATGGAATGGGTCACAGCGTTACATCTATGGGATCTAGCTGATCCTATGCTTGGAGCTGTCCAAGTTTTACAGCGTTTCAGCAGATTTGAGAAAGAAACTGAATGGCGCTTTGTTATCTTTGACTTTTGTCCTTGGTTATGTTTGCTAACTATGAGTATTCCTCATCTTTCAAAAATCCTAGTAGCAGAAGGGAGTCATGCCATCTTCAAATATATGGCCTTCAGTCAGTCCAATTACCCGCCCTGGTCTTTGTAATTACACTTTATAACAGCAGAGCACAGTACAAAAAGCAGATTCACATGACTGCTTATTTTAGAAATACAAGGAACAGGGCGGTATAGAATCCCAAGACCAGGTCTTGGGATACTAGAAGAGTCTAAGATCTCAGTAGGGTGGCAGACGTGCAAGAGAAGGATAGAAAAAGTAAATTTTATGCGATATGATCCTATAGTGTAGCTAACACCTGTTTGACATAGCACTTAAGAGTTACAAACCAGGGCTTTATCTGAGCAGAATCTCTTAATTGTGCTGTGGTATGTGATGGTTTTTGTACAGTGAACAGACAGACTGGGATAAGAGATTCTTTTGCATTACTGAAGATGAGATTTGAGCTCTATTTGAAGAGAAGAGCTGACATACTAATTCTCTTATTATGTAGGCCCCTTCTATCTTGTATTCTAAAATGCAAAACTGAATAGTCTAAACAATGAAAAAATAATGTTTCTCAAGGTAATCTTTAAAACGTGTTACTAGATTGCCCTATTTTCAATCAGGGAATTTTTTTTTATAACTTGCTTACATTATAATATAGGCTGATACACTGGTACTTTTTCTAAAAAGCTAACTTTTTTCTGCTATCTAAATAAAAGTAACAGTCATCTTATAATTCAGTTGCAGCTGTTTACTGTATCTTATCTACTAGAATAAAATACTTTCATTCTCTTGAATACAGCCCCTTATTGCACAGACAGAGGTTCTATTCTGTCAGCTGGATTTTTTCTGTTAATGTAAGTTAAAATTTTATTTAAATAAGGCGGCTTCCAATTTCATATCAGTCTTGAACAGATTCTGTAGAGTTTTTCAGTGCAAATAAAGCTTTTTTTGAGGTCACACAAACCTGTATTTAAGCCAGTATTTAAGCTAAAGGAGCAACCAAGTTCCACAGCAAGGAAAACTACCACTGAAGTCACTGGGAATTCTACTTAAGCTAGATTACAGTAGACTCAGAAAGGGATACAACAGGGTAAACACAGATTTTAAATGTCCTAAAGACTATCTACCCAAATTGCATTTAATACCAAGATTTAGAGTCTAACGTACATTTAATACCAAGCTTTTAGTCAGTCTACAGCACGCTTCTTACATAGCTTAGGGAAAACTGTAGCGTTAGGTTAGTTTTTGAAAACCATTTCTGAAAACCTGCTTACCATGACCTGAATCTAGCGCCCTCCGGCGTTACTGCTTGAACTAATGACCCGCTGAAAGAAAAATGCTACACTAGCATCTTTTGCTTGGCCTAAATGTGTTTACACAGCAGGCTGAAGGTGCAATTGCAGAATGCACAATCAGCTAGCAGTTGTGTCACTTTGTGTGAAGATCCTTGGCAAAGTTTTGGTATGGACTGTTTGAGTCTTGCAGGAGACTTTAGATCTTACTGGCATAATTTCTACTTGTTCTTCATAATGCGTCTTCTGTGTGATTTTTACTCAAAATATTAGCTTAAACCTAGCTTAGATATGCTGATTTCGGAAGTAGTTCATCTTCTGAATGCAGCATGGTGATACAAGGACCAAATCTGGGCAAGTCCCTAAGGCTGAGAAAACATAAATATAGGTAACTTTCTAATAAATGTTCTTCGCTAAGGAGCTGTAGAAGTCCACCTTCTTTCCTAAAAAACTCTCTACAATTTCAGGGTTGCATATTTGTTTTCCATTAACTTTTCCCTTAAAGTAGAAACTCCCTCCTGTACTGTAAATTCTGCAGATTTAGCTTGGCATCTCGGTAGGAGACATTTATATTTTAGTATTCTGCCTCATTCAGTGACAGAATTTCTGCGTTACAATGTAATTCAAAATCTTGTTAATAGTCTATCGGCCAATCTTTTGCTTACAGGAAAAAAACTTGCTTCTTTTGTTATGCTTTTGGAAACATAAATGTAGAAGGTCCACCAACTGCAAAGGTGGCATTTTAATGTATATAAAATAACACTACTCGAACTAAGCTGAAAATAAATTGTTTGCTTAGTAACATAGCCTAACAGTAATAAATTATTTTAATATATGCTTAAACTTAATTTGAAGTAACAGGTAGTGTAAAAATGTTTAGCGGCTCTGCTGAAACAAAGCCCAGGTAGCGTGATTACTTTTTTGAAGATAAAATCAGGCTATTGAACTTCATATAATGTTGCTATACCTGTACAGCATGTAAAGCAGGGACATACCCATGATGGATAGAACCTAGTAAGTGTTGGTTTATTAGGAAATACGTGGAGTTCATGTAATGAGATTTCCTTATGATACTGACAATGCCAAGGGAAGACAAACAGTGTGATACAGTTTCCTTTTCTCACAGTAATGGAGACAACAGAAAAAATGAACTGCTTTTAAACAGAAGACTGTGGGGACAACACTTCAGGACATTTTTGACATGGCTATAAGTTTCCACTTCTTTCTTCTCTGTAGCTGTAATAGAAAAAACTCTTCAGTTGCATCCCACCTTGAAAGTTAGATTTATTATACTGCATCAGGCAACAAAAATAAAAGAAATAGAATTTTAGATATAATTATAAATTTTTCCCCATCAGAAGAAGAAGATGAAGTTCAGAATCTCACCCCTAAGTACAACAATCTAGGCAAAATACACAAGGCCTCTTTAGGATCAACAGCAGTATTATGGTTGGTAGTGTGTGGGCTTATACTCGAATGTTTACCTGGCTTCTTTTAAGCCAAGTATCTTGAGTTTGGTTCACATTCATTTCAGGCTCAA